TCTAGAAGTTGTAAAGGCAGTGTGCCTTATTTCCTCTTGTCAGACATTTTATATTTTAAGACTTGTTGAGAACTCCAGTTCATTTATTTCAGACATTTACTTGTATTCCAGTATATTAGATGACGAGATATTAATTTGACCTCTATTACTTCATCAGTTGATTCTTGTATAACATTTACTTGCTTTGTACTACACCTGTTGTTGATTCCACTAGAGAGATAGAAATTGTGATGGTGAAACATGTTATTGTACGGTGTGGTGCATGGCAGGTTTGACATTTCTGGTTTCACCTCGGACTGCAGCCTTGTGTGAACCCAGGGGCGTCACATTAACCTTAACCTGCTTGAATGTTTCTAGGATCTTCTCCTCTTGGGGGAGTGTTTCCTAAGCTTGAGTCTATTTAGAAAAGGCGCAACTGGTCTAAACCTATCAAAAGCAGGCTCAGGTTCCGGTTCAGGTTCTGATCATCTAAGGAGGGTGATTGTTGAATAGATTCATTAGAAGGAGAAGGAGAAGGAATTTGTACTGGATCAAAAGTTTGACTTGGAGGAGTTCTCACTTGATTATCGACCTGTCTACCTAACCGAAGTGAATGGATTGCATTCACTTGAGCTTCATAGGATGAACTGCATCCTGTGTCCTTAGGGTTGACCACGGGTTGACTCGAAAATTTTCCTTTCTCTCTTTCACTCACGGCACTAGCTAGCTGACCAAGTTGGGATTCTAATCTAGCTATAGCTTGCGTGTTGGAATTGAGCATTTGTCCGGTTGATTGCATAAAGGAATTCAAAGTGCTGGATGTTTGAGTCAACATATTCATGGTTTGAGTGGAGGCCTTAATTATGGTTTCCAAACCCCTTTCTAAGACATTGAGACGTTTATCCTGATCTAGATTGTGAGGAATCTGAATTAAAGCTTGATGAAGAGGAGATTGATTTTGATACGATAGATTGGGTTGTTGATATTGTGGATGAGAATTGAAAGGAACCGTGTTTCCTCTAGGAAAATGTTGGGTCAAAGCGGGTGTAAAGTTTTGAGTTCCGGGAGAATTTTCTTGATTCCATGCAATGTTAGGATGATTTCTCTAACCTGGATTGTAGGTTGGAGAGAATTGATCATTTGCAGAATGCTGGAATGCAGCGTTAACCTGTCCTAATGGTTGATTATTTCCTAAGAGAGGACATTCTTCTGAAATATGAGATGGTAACAAACAGTTGTGACATCCTGAGGCTGAAACTTGATTGATTTGAGCTGGGGCTCTTTCCTTGATTTCTAAAGCTTCTAACCTACGCATGATTGTGGCCATCCTAGCTTCAGATGCAATGTTCGACTCTAAGGAAATACCACTAGATTTGGGTTGGGGACTGATGATACTCGGTCATCACAGTGTTCCCATTGCATGGTTTTTTCAGAAAGACTCTCTAAAAACTCCCAAGCTTCATCAGCGTTTTTCCTCATAAAATCCCTGTGGCACATTGATTCTAAGAAAGTTTTTGCAGAATAATCTAATCCTTCATAAATTATTTGGCACAATCACTATTTTTCTAAACCGTGATGAGGACATTGGATGAGAAGATCTTTAAATCGGTCAAAATACTTCCAAAAGGGTTCTCCCGAGATAATTTTAAAATTCATGATACTGTTTCTTAGCTTCACCGTTTTATGGATAGGAAAAAATTTCTTAAGAAAAACGGTGATAAATTCCTCCCACGTAGTGATGGAATTTATGGGTAATCTATACAGCCATTTTTTTTGCTTTGTCTTTGAGAGCAAATGGAATAAATCTGAGTTTGATTGCATCTTCTGTTAATTCTCTCATTTTAATCATAATACACACTTCCTCAAATTCCAAAATAAAAATATATGCATCTTCTGTTTCATTTCCAAGGAATTTGGGAAGCATGTTTATGTAATGCGGTCTAAGCTCAAAATTTATTCCATTTGTTTCGGGGAGCCTAATGCAAGAGGGGATTGCATTCCTAATGGGATAGCACATATCATGAAGAACGGGTGGATTAGGATGCTCCATTTCTATGATTGGTTCAAAGCGAATTAATCGACGTGTATTATCCCTAATCCACTGTTGCATACACCAAAACTATTTCTTTTTGTTATTAATTTTTTTATAAAGAAAAAAATTTAGTTTTTTTATGAGAAGAAAAGGATAAAGAAAAATCCTAACAAATCAAAGCAATCGCTTTTCAATCACTCTAATTCTAGGGTTTAGCCTAACTCACTAGACCAGCTCCTAACCAAAAACTCCTACAGTGAAAAGATTAAAGTTTTACCCAGGTAGTTAGCTAGGTAAGGATAGTACTAGAGGGTGATCAAAGATCAATTAAGTATCTCTTTCCTTGCGGAGAGCTTTACGCAACCCCTAAACCTTACCTTAGACACCAACTAATCTGAGAAAACTTAAACCGGTTCACTTCAGGATTTCTTGTTCCTTATTGAGCTCGAGTCCTTAGGGCCAACGTCTAATGAGTTTTATTAGGCTTGGGTAGTGTAGTGAGGAATTAGTGATTTTTGGGCTAAGAAAATGGTGATGAAATCCCTCACCTTATCTTGATTATGGGGTTTTGCCCTTAAAAATATTTTTAAGTGTGTGCCAAATCAAGATGCTCAAATCACTTGGTGAATTCCTACACTATATGAAATACAACCCTAAAAATTAAAAGCGACTAAAAAGGATGATAAAAAGAATATCTTTATATTTTTTTATTAGGGTTAACAATCAAACAATTATGAGAAGGGGGAACATTGTTTGAGTTTATTATCTTGTTAGTTAATATCCAAGTGAAAGATGGATTTTATTATGGTCAACAAAAATAAAATCTTTTTTTTTTAATCCTAATTGTCTCTAATTGTGAAGCTAACTAAAAGGGGTAAAATTGAAAATGCTAGAAAGAAGACTTACCCGAAAGCAAATCTTCAAATCCTAGTTCTCCAATCCGCGATCTTCAAGCTCCAAGCATTTCCTTCACAATAAATACAAAAGTTAAAGAACCAAAATAATTAAAATCTACTTAAGCACCTTCCCCAGCAACGGCGCCAAAAACTTGATGTGGCATAAACATGTACCAAAAAGGTTGCAAGTGTACGACCATGTCAAGTTATAGTATAAAGATATCGATCCCACGAGGAATGTGTTTTTGTAGGAGAAAATATAAAATCGGTTCTTATGTTGTGTGCGTGACAATTAGGAGTGATGAGTGAATGTGATTGTGAAGAGATTGAGAGAGTGAAAATGGTGTGTAAATAGGCGAAAAATATAAGTGAGAGTGGATGTGACAAAGAATGAATGTGATTAATAAGGCAAGAAGGAAAAATTAAATAAAAATCAAGAATGAAAAATAAAAATCAAGAATAAAAGAAAATGCAAGAAATTAAAGATGGTGGGTTCAATTATAGATATGGGTAATCTAAAATTGAACCCACTTCTTAAAAAATGGTGATTCCCTAGAGGGTTCTAGCCTAAAGGTAAATCAAACAAAATAAAAATAAATAAATAAAAAAACTAAACCCAAGAGGGTTCTAGCCTCAGTGAATAGTACAAGAAATTAAAATCTAACTACAAAATAAATTGTAAAATCTAAACTACAAAATAAATTGAATTAAAATCTAACTACAAAATAAATTGTAAAATCTAAACTACAAAATAAATTGCAAGAATTAAATGCAAGAAAATAAATCTACTCTATAAGCATGAAATAAATCTAATCTATAAGTATGAAATAAATCTAAGGTAAGAGGGTTCTAGTCTCTTGGCTATTTAACAAGAAAATAAAATCTAATTATTAGCATAGAAATAAATCTAAACTAATAAGCAAATAAGAAGAAATAAAAGAGAAAAAAAAAGAAATACAAACCTCTAAATAATTCTTCATCTCCATCTTCATCATCCAACAAAAAGAAGAAATATCTAAAGTGGTAAAAAAATTATTATTATTAATTGTAACAAAAAGTTATAAATTTAGAAGGTCTTCTCAATTAACAGTAGCCCTCCACTTCAAAAGGAGTTACAAAAATTTTCACATCTCTAACCCCTCACTCTCTAGCCCTATTTATAGTAAACATCAATGAATGTGAGCCCTTGGATTGAAATCTTATCCAAAACCATAAAAAATCAGCCATTAATTCGTAACAGAATTGTCAGTATCGATGCCAGCATCAATACTGGCATCGATGCCGGCATCAATGCCAGCATAGATGCTGGTATCGATACCCAATCAAAATTCTGCTTTCACGGATGGCTTTGTCTCGTCGAGATAGACGATTTTCATATATTATATGTTAAATTCCGCCTTATGGATTGAGAGATATCGTCGTTTCTTTACGGCCAACCATCTTGAATATATTTTTTTTCATATTTGGTTTTTTTTATTTTCTCCGGCTTCTACAGCCTACTCGGCTTGATTCTGGGCTTGGGCTTTTTGGCTCTTGCTTGTGTTCTTCATTTAATTCATGGGTTTTTGTCGAGAGATGGGATTTTGAGCTTTATTCTTCATTAACCTACAATTAAAGATAAAAATAATTATTAGTGGTATATTTATTTATATAAAATAGATAATGAGGGTATAAAATTATAATAAAATGTGATTATCAACTTACTTACTATTAGTGGATTAATTTTGAGTACCTTTAATGAGTCTGCACAGAAAAGAGAACTCTTAGAATCCGATGATAGTATAGTCGAAGCTTGGATGAAGCTGTAAATTTCCAAATGCCATATACATTAAGAAGATTATTTGCAACTATTCTGGTTTACTGTCAACCAAAAAATATTAGAATATTATGGGAGAGATATAGAGCAGCAATGTCTGAAGATTTCATTCAAAAATCTACATCGACAGATGTAGAACAAACTGCATGGACATTAGAGGGAGTTAATTATTTTCTGGGGAGCATGGGGAAGACAATACAAGATTTTGATTTACCTAAAGTTAAAGCGGATGAAAGCGGTGATCCATCACGTAATCTATGAATCATACCTATGAATCATGCAGGATGAGATAGATGTTGAAGTCTATCAAGAAGATATAGATGGTAAGTATAAATTAAATGAAGATCAAAGAAATTCTTTTCAAATAATAATGGATAGAGTTAATATGAATAAGGGAGGAGTTTTTTTATAGATGGTTCTGGAGGCATGGGAAAAACATTTTTTGTATAGAACTATATTTACCAATGTTAGATCAAAAGGAATGATTGTAATAGCAACTACAACTTCAGGAGTAGCAGCATCTTTATTACCTGGTGGACACACATCACATTCACGGTTTAAGATACCTATTAATGCCAATGAGACAACAATTTACAATATATCTAAACAAGAAGGTACTACACATTTGATTAGATAAGCAGCATTAATTATTTGGGATAAAGCATCTATGACAAATCAAGATTCAATTGAAAGTGTGGATCATACAATGCAAGACCTATTGAGTATAGAAGAATTGTTTGGTGGTAAAGTTGTCGTTTTTGAATGAGGTTTTCGTCAAGTATTACCCGTTATTCCAAGAGGAACAAGAAGCCAAATAGCTAATGCCAGCTTAGTAAAATCTTATTTGTGGGAGAAAATGGAAAATATAACCTTAAAATAAACATGCGAGCAAAAAATGATGAAGAATTCAGTAAATTCTTACTACGAGTCAGAAATTGAACAGAAAAAATAACTAAAGATGAACTAATTAAACTTCCTGAAAGTATTATGATTGAAGATAGAAAAAATAGACAATCAGAAGTTGAATTGTTAAATCAAGTATTTCCATCAATTGAACAAAATGCAAATTCAGCTGAATATATGACAGGACAAGTTATTCTTGCAACAAAAAATGAATATGTAGATGAGCTCAATGACAAGCTTTTGGAAAAATTTCTTGGTGATAAGTTTATTTTTCATAGTTTTGACAAGGCTGTTGATGATCCAAACAACTACTACCAAGAAGAATTTTTAAACAAGTTGATGCCTAATTGTCTTCTGCCACACAAACTAAAGCTGAAGCATAATTGCCCAATAATATTTCTTAGAAATCTTGACCCATCGAATAGACTTTGCAATGGAACTAGAATAGTTTGCAAAGAATTTGATAAGAATGTTGTTAAAGCAGAAATAACAAAAAGTCATCATACGGGTCAAGAAGTCATGATTCCAAGGATACCCTTATCACTGACTGAAAATGAAAACTACACTATCAAATTTCAATGAAAACAATTTCCTATAAGGCTATGCTTCGTAATGACAATAAACAACGCACAGGGACAAACAATTCACAAAGTGGGTATTTACTTACCACAACATGTTTTTTCACATGGATAATTATACGTCGCTTTATCTCGTGGTATATCAACAAACACTACAAGAGTGTTGGTTAAAGGTGAAAGAAAACAAAAGAAAGGATATACATACACCAAAAATATCATCTACAAAGAAGTACTGTTCAGAGAAAGGTAAGGAAAAATATTTAAATGACTAACTTATTTATTGTAAATGTCAATAACAAAAATATCATAATTTAATTTACTCATTTTCTAGGAATAAATATTGCAATAAGAAGATAGTGAAAAAAATTTATATCTTTATTATAATTTTTTAAAATTAATTTATTTCATATTTCTCATATTTACTCTGGTTATAGTGAAGATGTCTGCTGAAAGACAACGTAAAGGTAGCAATAACTTCATTAAGGATTTAAAGTTATATCAAGAATCTTTCTCAATCAAAGTGTTTATACTAAAAATGTCCTTGGAGCAATTCTCATCTTCAAAAGGCTCAGGTCAGGTTCATAAGATTATTGTGATTGACGAAGAGGTAAGTATAACTCTTAAAATGAAATATTAAATATTATATTTAAATTTCATTAGATTTATACTTAACTGGTAATTTATTTTAAAGTTTAAGTAACAACATATAAATACAGAGATCGAAGATTCAAGCTACACTATTCAATGCTACATTTAAAATATTTGAAGAATACATCCATCTCAACAATACTATTATCATCAAGAAGGGTATAGTCAGACCTACAAATAGGAAATATGCATCAGTGAATTTGAATTTCAAGCTTGCTTTTGGAAAAAACACAAAGATCACAGTATCAAAAAATGAAATCAATATTAGTACTCTACCATTTTCATTCAAGTTATTTGAAGAGGTGACAAAGACAAATAATAAAAATATATTTTTTGGTATGCTAAATTTTTAATATCAACGATATAGCATTTTTAATACAAAATTAAAATTTTAAGCACTAAACTTTTAATGTTTATACAGATGTGTTAGGATTTATCACTTCAGTGAGACCATTATGCACAACAAATACATCAGTTACAAGAGAGATCACAATAATGAATGAAAAGTAAGCGGTTTGAAAGATGAAATATATTTTCACTAACAAATAATAAAATACTAACATTTCCATTTAACAATTTATTGTAATTGACATAGGATGGATACATTGGTATTAACATTATGGGGAGAGCATGTAGAGAAAGAAGGTTAAATATTCAAAGACAAACAGAAACAAAAACCAGTTATAGCAATAATTAATGTGACCGCAAATAGATACATGGGTAAGACTTTTCAATTTAATTGTTCTCAAAAAATTATATAACCAAAGAGTAACCATATAACGAATACAGGAGTTTCGTAACTATCATCAAAGCCTACAATAATATTTTTGTTAGACCCAGATATTACTAAAGCACACGCTCTCAAAGCATGGTAATGCTTATGAAAATAAAATCCTTCCTAATATAATAAAAAATAATGCATGTCTTAAATATAGGATGGCGGGAATGGGGAAAATATATGAGAAATTAATGCAACAAACCCCATCGACGCTAATGAGAAGATCTAAAAAGGATATGCTTGGTGATATCATCACATCATCAATAGCTACAAAAAAAGGTATTTTATTATATTGGATTGGATGAAATATTAATAAGTTAAATAATAAGAAATTATAAATTTATAGTCTGACTATTATTTTTTAGAATTTTTATTAATACTTTAAAGTGGAAATATCAGCAATAATCAATCCAGAATCACCTTGTTACATTGCATGCAAGAATTACCAAAGAAAGATTTTTGTTAAAGACACAATAGCTAGCTACAACAATTACAATACTAAAGATATGGAATGAGAAATAAAGTAAGTTTTAAAATTTAACCATTAAAAAAATAAAAACAACAATAAATTTTCACAACAAGATACCTTATGCGATTAGCAGTTAAGGTTGATATAAACAAAGCATATGTTACTCTTTTCGATGAAGCTCAGTTTCTAACTGGTTATTCACCTGAAGAATATATAGATTCATTTGATGAAGAAGAAAAGGTAATATAACATTTTTTAATATATAAAAGCTTTTTCCATAAAATTAGTAAAATAGAAAAAATGACCATAAATATAATGTAGGAGCATTTATCACCTATGTACCAGAAAATGATGAACTGTTATGACAAAGAATATATTTTCTTGGTAAAAATGAATAAGAACGATGGAGTGAAAAGAATTGAAGGAAGAATAACTGCTCAAGAAATACACAAAGCCAGACGATTTCAAACTAATAGAATGTGATGAAGATGAAGATTCAAAGGACATATCACTGAAGCAAAAGAGTATGGCAAGCCTGAAAAATATGAACAAAAGAAAGTACATGAATAATAAAAATATTAAAATAGAAAGTGAGGAGTGATAAATCATTTATAGTACTATGATGAATACACTTAATTATGTTTATTTAAACTTATTATGTTGAGGATATTGAACATGTGTTGATTTTAATAAGTATATTTAAGATAGTGTTTGTTTGTTTAAAGTATTATGAATCAAACATATTCTATGCAGCAAAGAAAGTTTTTCAAGTGATATTTGTTGCTAGATTTTTTATATTTCTATAAAATTAGTTATCAATTATATTCTTATTGGATTTCTCAGTTTTATATTGAAATTTAGATTTAATATTTCATAATATTCTTTACTAGATTTCTCAGTTTTATATTTAGATTTTATTATAGTTACCTATAAGTATAAATATATGTGTCAGTAGGAAAAAGTGTGGTGATAATCAAATTATGAAGAGGTCTGATGTAACATCATTGCTAATGTTGTAGTATTTTCATTGCGTACTTTCTCCTTTATAGAGGTACTTTCTCCTTCGATACTATATTTAAATTCACTACTTGGTAGATTAATTAATACTATGATTTGCAATGATAAGATTACAACCATAAAATTTTCTCAGAAGGAAAAATATTCAAAATTCAAAGAAAGTACTACTTCATACTAAGATAGAAGGTACGATTGCAATCATTTATTTTTTTCTAATTATAATTTTTTAATAGTTTTTGGATTGTCATTTTTTGAAATAAATTATGGGTTGTTTATAAATTTGGCTGATATGCAAGTATGAATGTGTTCTCAAATCATTAACCATATTTAACCAATTGAAGGATTAGATAGATTAGTCTTATTTGATTTGATTTCCTTTGTCATCTGAATTCAATTTGTGAATTGGTTGATTTGATATTACTTGAGGGTTTTTTTTTCTTTTATAGCATTCATTGTTTTTAATTAGGAATCAAAAGAAATTTGCTAAAATTAATATATTATACAATGATGCATATCTTTAAGTATGATCTAGTTCATCTCATTAAAAAATTTTGGTTTTTTAGAATTGTATGTATGCATATTTTTTAAATTTTCTTAAGAGGTTAGGACAGACAGCGAAGGAGGATAATGAAAGGTTCTTACGAAAGCTCAGGAATTGAATGGAGCAGTAAAGATTAGATTTTGAATTGAGTTTTGTTTGTTTGTTGTTTGTTGTTTGTTTTTTATTTGTTTGGTTAATTGGGTAATTTTTGGGTATTTTTGGGGTTGGGATTGATAATCTAATGATTGAGGTCTGATGCGAGCATTTGAACATTAATGCAAAGGCATTTGTGGGGAATCGAGGGACTTCGACATTTACCAACTTTTTTGGGAATAAGTTGACTGTGAGTTTTTTTTTCCTTTTACGGATGAAAAGGAAAAGATTCATTTTTTCCTTCTTTCATTCTGTTGATAAACTGGTTTGGATCTGATTTGGATTCTTTTGTCATGTCTTTTGAATTGATTCTTTTAATTTTTCTTCTTCTGATTTTGAAGTAGCGCTCGGAGGTTTAGGGTGGGAGAATCTACATATCAAGGTAAATTTACTTCTTAATTTCCCTTTTAGAAAACTAAAGTTCCTAATCATGTGAAGAACGTCTTCCATTACTTATTTTCAATCAGCTCCTATTATGAATTTAATTTTCAAGATTTAAGTTAATCATTTAAAGATTTCTAAATTGCTAACATAAATTTGTATATATCTAAAACATTCCTAATGCATTGTAGTTATACATGTCATTATTAGCACACGTGCACACACATACAAACAAATGCAAACATAGATAAGAAAATTTTACCATTTACTTATGCATTGTCAGTTCTATCATCTATGTTATGCTACTATGAACTACATTTTCTTTGTGCCTCAATTTTTTTATAGTAATACCATCTATATATCGTGCATATGCATTGTACAAGAATTCAATCATTACCATTATAAATTATTTTATGATAATTAGACTTACTACAAGATTTACTCATCTAGCTGAGAGATAAACAAGAGTTGAAGTAGTGAACTATCTTTTATTTTCATGTATAGTATATGCTTTTGTTACATTATCATAATTGAATATTTGATTCATCTCGGAAAAGGATTAATTTTTGTAAATATTAATCTTACTAGATATGTAGATAGGTTCTATAATACATTGATGAGAAGCATCTATAGCAGCTTCTTTCTCTATGTATGCGGCCAAACCTGAACAACATCGAAGACAACACAAAAGGTAAGAACATGTCGAGAAAAAAATCCAGTTTGTTCCTTCTTGCTACTGTATCATTTGATTTTGTATGTATAAAAAAGATATAATCTTATTTGTTGTGCATTTGTTTATTAAACTTGAAAAGAAGAGTCCTTACTTAGGTTAACTTTTTTCTTCATGACGCAATATTGTATACTGAACATTTATTTTGGCGATACTCTGTTATATCTGAGAAGAACCATGGAGATCTTCCTACTACACATAGAAATACATGGACGTCCATTCTGATTTGAAACTGGCTTTCTTCTTTATCTTCAAAGTAGGAAATTAGTTGCCTATAAGTGTTGAATAGATTTGTGTAGTAGGCTGGTGTCCAAATTCTACTGATTTCAGTGTAAGGTTTTGGATGTTCTTTCTATTTTCTTCCGACAATACAAGCTCCAATGTTTAATTTTCCTTAACCATATTTATGCTTTTCTTAAAATATTGCAGATATGGCTGCCTAAGCATGGAATATAGGTACCTTTTATATATAGAAATTTTGAATATTACCAGTACGTATTAGTGTCTGTTGTATGCTACTACATACCTTCTTAGGTGACATGAATTCCTCTAATGTTTTGATTACTAGGCTATGGGTAAAGGCATTAAAAAGTTCATTGTGGGACATGACTTCAGAAATTTCTTTAAGACGGATGCAGCGGATGTGAAAAAAATATAAAAGGAAGAAAACAATCCTTGATATTTCTATTTTCAACCAAAGGTATATTATTGTTTTCTATAAGAAAAGTTATTAAAAGACCTCTTAGAAGATCTCCATTGGTTCCGCCTCAGGTATAAGTCCTATTATATTCCAAAATTTCTTAATTGATTAATAATTTATACTACTTCACACAACAATTTGCTATGTACTGTTCTATTTTGCAATTTCTATTATTCTTATGCATGATATACACCATGCAATTTCAGTGAAAGCCTTGCTTGCGTTCAAAAGGAATTGATGGAAATTGGTACTTTTTTGTTGTCTCCTTCTAAACATGAATAATGCTAACTGAATTATTAATTTTTTGGTACACAAGATCAAAACATTTTCCAAGAATAAATACACATAATGCTTATATATTTTAAGACAAAAATAATGTATATGGAAATACTTAAATGGTAGAACCATGTAATGTACTTGTGATACTCAATAGGAAATTTATGTATTCATGTTCCAAAAACTTAAATGATACATTTTGCATTCTCTATTAAAAAATCAACCTCAGATTTATATGAGAACATTCATATTCATATTTTACTTTCACCTGTGTGTTGTTTTGCTAAGTGGTTAGCATACAATTGGCATGAGTTTAGCTTATGCACAAATGTCCTCTGCATTTCACATTGACCCATTTCACAATAACTTTATTTTATATGCACCAGGATCTTATCTTCTTTTGTCATTAATTTTCATGATCTTAATCATGTAGTCATGAACATAGTTTATACTAGCTAAAAAATTCTTCAAGCTGGAAATTTCCAGGAAAAAAATTTCTCAACTTGTAGAGACTATATGTTGTCTTTTATAGTTATTCATGGTTTGATTTCAGTGTGACTTTTCTAATAGTCTATCCAATAGTTTATATTTAACATGATTAAATA